GATGGATGATTTTAAGATCACTGACTAACTGTTTTACATAACTTTAAATAGTTGAGACCAGTGGAATCAGTGATTGTGATGCCAAGAGATGATATAAAGGAGGAGTGATATTGAAGACATCAGTCCTCAATCTCACAGGAGAAGCAAGAAAAACAGTGCCCAGATAGACGAGCCGTGTTTGCAGGATGGATTCAGTCTTTTCTCTAATTGGACCCTACATTGGCTGGGATTTCAAAACCTTCTTGCTCTTCACCATAGTTTTCATCATCACAGCTGATATTGTCAGGAACCGTCGGCCGGTTGGCTTCCCTCCAGGGCCTTGGGCTCCTCCAGTCGTGGGCAACATATTCAGTATTGACTTCACCAGAACTCATGAGGTTTTCACACAGTTAGCAGAAAAGTATGGAGACGTGTACAGCCTAAGGATTGGCAAGAGGTGGTTGGTTGTACTAAACAGGTCTGAGGTTCTGAAAGAAGCTCTAGTAACGCAGGGAGACAGCGTGGCGGACCGACCACACATTCCTTTGATGCAAGACATAGCATCTGGACTAGTCAGGTGTGATTTTCAGTAGTGGACACAACTGGAGGCAGCAGAGGCGATTTGCACTTTCAACCCTCAAATATTTTGGAATTGGAAAGAAGTCACTTGAACCCGTCATCCTGGATGAATTTACACATTGTGCAGAAGAGTTCAGAAGCTTTAAAGGTAAGCCATTCGATCCTCATCTCGTCACGAACAACGTCGTCTCCAACATCATGTCCTCCCTGGTTTTTGGTCATCGCTTTGAGTACAGTGATGAGAAGTTCCAAAATCTGTTAGCGATGTTTGACTATGGATTCCGAGTTCAAGCCTCCATTTGGGCACAGCTCTACAACTCATTCACTGGGCTCATGAGATGGTTTCCCGGTCCACATCATACAGTCCGGCAGTTCTGGAAAAAGGTGAAGGACTTCATACGTGAAGAGATGAATGAGCACAAGAAGACCTGGGATCCCTCAGAGCCAAGAGACTACATTGACTGCTACCTGAATGAGATTCAAACGGAGAAAGATGACAACACATTTGGTGAGGAAAACCTGATTGTATCTGTTTGGGACTTGTTCCTGGCTGGCTCAGAGACCACAACCACCACCCTGCGCTGGGCGTTTCTCTACATGGCAAAATATCCTGAGATCCAGGAAAAGGTCCAGGCTGAGACAGACAGAGTGATTGGACAGTCCAGACAGCCATCCATGGAGGACCGTGCAAACCTGCCCTACACAGATGCTGTTATCCATGAGATCCAGAGGATGGGCAACGTAGTTTCTCTCAGCCTGCCACATATCACCAACAGAGACGTCCAGCTGGGAGGCTACACAGTCCCAAAAGGAGTTAAAATAGTTCCCAATCTGACCTCTGTGCTGTTCGACAAGAATGAGTGGGAGACGCCCAACACCTTCAACCCAGGACACTTTCTGAATGAGGAGGGCAAGTTTGTGAAACGAGCAGCTTTCATCCCTTTCTCTGCTGGTAAGCGGCTGTGTCTCGGGGAGAATCTGGCCAGGATGGAGCTTTTCCTCCTCTTCACCTCCTTCATGCAGAACTTCACCTTCTCCATGCCTGCTGGGGTGAAGCCTTCAATGGACTTCCACTTCGGTGTCATTCTGGTACCGAAGGACTATGAAATATGTGCAACCCCACGTCAAGAGAAGTAAATTTTCAAAAAAGAACAAAGTTTTTAGTTCTGACTTTGTCCACACAGAGCATCTAATATACTGTAGAAATACATTTGTTGAATTAAAGATTATAACTAGTGATTTTTAGCAGAGGTGTGTCTTTTTTTTAAAATTGTTATTATTACTTTTAAATCGGTTTTTATGGTTTTACACAGAGGTGTCAATTAATATTTTATCGGCGGCAGTGTGGTTTTATTTATTTATTTATTAATTCGTGTATTTCTCTTGTTTTAACTGGTTGGTTTGATTTGACATTTTTTGCATGATTAGTCTGTTTTTACGCTGCCTTTTTAAATATCCATTGCATCTCTGTGTATACGATTCTGAATATTGTCTCTACCTCATAGTTAATCAC